CTTTTAGCTATCCCATTATGCTGAGGAGTCTTAAGGGCAGAAGAAAATGTTATATTCCTAGCTCCCTATAATATAATTTCAAAATTATCATTCTCAAATTTTCTAATATGATCACTATGAATAACAGATATCTCACATTCTAAATTTCTTTGAATCCAAGTGGAGAACGTTCTAAATTTCTCAAATAATTCATTTTTATGAGATAGGAATCTAACACAGGTAAATCTAAAGAAATCATTAACAATTACATATCTATAAGTTTTCCCTTCAAAGCTTGTAGTACTAATAGGTCCGAACAAGTCCATATGATAGATTTCTAATGGCCTAGAGGTTATGACATCCTTAATTGATTGAAATGATAATTTGAATTATCTTCCTAGTTGGTAGGCATTACAATGGAAGTCCTTAGAGAAATCTAATTTAGGTATGCCTCTCACTAGGTCTTTCTGAATGATCTTCTTAAGGTTTTTCATGCTTGCATGACATAGTCACCTATGATATAACTAGTATTCATTAACAACAACTTTTAAATATAAGGAATTTAAATAATCAACACAATTTAAGTCAAGCATGTAAATTATTTATTCTATTTTCCATCTAAAATAATATTTCCATTTAAGCTAATCAAAAACTTAGTAGATAAAAATTTAATATCAAAACCTTTATCACATAAATGATCAATAATAAGAAAGTTATGTTTCAAGCTATTTACTAGCAAAATATTTTCAATGATAAACTTATATGAGTTACTAATTAAACTTGAACCCCCCACTTTCATAGTGGTGTTATCTCTTAGTGTGATCTTGCCTCCTACCTTAGCCACTAACTTGATGAATTACTTTTGTGATCACCCCTATAATGTCATCACAAATTGGAATTAGGAACCCAAGTGAGTTTGGGTTCCACCTTATACTTTATTGGATGAGATACATGAATGTTATATTTTGATGCAAATGATTTATGCCACCACACAAGAAATGTCCTACGATGTATAATGCAAATGCGAGGTGTGTGTCCTAAAATGCCACATGAATAGAACCTACTCCCAAGGAATATATTTACTAATATATATGGGGGGTAGTGCATACACTTAGGGATATGAGATGATGCAAGGTGTGTTTATGGTTGATATTATTATGTTGGTGTAGGTGATGATCTATTGTTTTGAAGTGCATCAAGTTTTACTTTCAAGTCATTACTCGCTCACTAGGAATTAGTCCCATTCTAATTGTCTCTAATTATTTAGATGTTTTTCTAAATCAATATACTCTGATTTCAAGGATTTGTGTGCTTTGGTTAATTCAACATGCTTCTTGTTAAGTCCATTAAAATCATCAAATAAAGAGGTATGCCTCAGAAAGTTTTCGAATTATCGGGTCATCAGTGTTATGATTGTCTTCTTCAGTTGTAAAGCTATCACTCTCAAAATCATTGGCCTTTAATGCCACTGCTTTGTCCTTCTTCATGTTATCTACATCAAGTAATCTTTGACTCATGTTTTGCTCATAGGAAATGAGTCAGCTAAGCAAATTATCAATATAATAAAAATTCAAATCTTTAGATTCATATATAGAAGTAACTTTAGTATCATACATACTAATAGATAAAGTAAAATTTTTTTTGACCTTCTTAGACTTTTATAGTTCTCTACCTAGGGCATACAGGGATGTCACTATTTAATTAAACCTAGTGTACATGTCTGAGATAGTCTCATTAGGTTTCATGCAAAAGAGTTCATAATAATGTAATAAAATATTTAAACACGAGTTTTTAATTTCACTAGAATGCTCATAAGTGATGCATAACCTATCCATGATCCCTTTGTCAGTAGTACAAGTAGAGATCCTCATGTATTCTTTGGATTTAAATGCATAAAAAAATAGTTTAAATATTTTACATTAATTTATGCCAAATCTCTATCCTTATTACTAAATTAAGTAATAAGTGTTTCAATTTTCATACCATTCAAAAATCTAAATGGAGTATAATAACCTTCTTGAATAGTATGCCACATGCGAAAATCAATTGATCATAAATAAGTAGACATACAAAATTTTCAAAAGTCAAATGTTATATTATCAAACAATGGTAGATGAGTTATAGAATAAACCTATACAGTATTCCTATTTCCAAAAAGTTCTATTTGTTCTTTTCTTATGTATTTTTAAATTACTAATTTTTAGACCCGCTATGATGCGAATTGAAACTTCAAGGGAAATTATTAAACGTCATTAAACTGCCTAAGGATTTATAGAGCAATCCCAATAGATTAATAAAGCTTTTGCATGAATCAAGGTGCAAGCCTGCTTTGAGCAATCATGTGGAATCACCTCACACTGCTTCTCCCTTTCTCACAACTTCACCTCCTCCTTCAATGCTCTAATAACTCACAAGTCTCTCTCTCTTAGAATACCTTTAACAATCAAAGATCTTTTCAATGTCTAAAAATAGTATTTAAATATAAGGTCTTTTTTAAAACCTTAAAATTTTAATTATGTCATTTCATATTGTGTAAAACGATCTGGGATCATATAATACGATTAGGTTAAAACCTAATTCATCCACTACATAGAATAAAGTCTCAGTATAATTTGTTCAAAACTTTATATACTAATTTAAAGTATGATTTTTGGATCATATGATATGATTAATTTATTATCCTCAATGTTCAAGAAGGAAGGTCTCCGAGATGATAGAAAATAATCTCTATCCATCATCTAGTAGGATGGGTATTGTACTGTATGATTAGTTGAAGAAATCAAAGTTTATCCAAGATGATCCCTAAGATGGCCAACTTTTGTCTCTACCTATCATCCATTATGATCCACATCATACTGTATGATTTATTATATTAAAAAAACCTTGATTTAATTGACTAATCATGGGGATTATTTTAGGTAATAATTTAAGTATCATATAGTATGAATAGGTTTATACAGTACGATCAATTTACATTTTAAAAATTAAAATGTTTTCTTAAATTTGATTAATAGCTAGGGTTTCTAAGTTAAACAGATCGTATAGTATGATCTGGTTCATATAATATAATTAGTTTAAAAACATTAATTATATAATTAGTTGTTATAAATATTTTTCTAAATACTTAATCATATAGTACGATCCAAATCGTACGGTATGATTAGTTCAAAAAAAAAATTAACTTTATTTTTCTCACTATCTTATATGTGTGTGTACAATCACCAAGTTAGTATACACCTTTTATAGAACTTTTACTCAACAAATATAAAATAAAGAAAATAAAATATAAACTCTTATAAAATATTATCCTATTATATCCAATTTTGAGCCTTTAATCATATTACATTGGCATATGATGTACATGAAATCACAGTACACATAAAAATGGATATACAAGATAAATGCTAGGAGTAATAAGGAGTCACTTAATAATGCTTGTTATCATAAAAATCACAAGTTCAAGATTGTGGATTACAACAGGAGTATGTTTTTCATATAAAACAAACATGTTATTTTGAACTAATTGTATTGCATGATCCCTGATCACATTGAATAAATAGTGGTAGCTGAATTAATTTTTTAGGCTTTCTGAAGCCCTCTATTTAAGCTTTTCACATAAGACTTTATAAGTCTTTTGGTATTCATTGGGCTATTTCTTATGAAAGAAAGCTTGAAGAGAGTGCCTAGAGCTTGGGAGATAAAGGGTTAAATTTGTGTGTGTGTGTGAGAGAGAGAGAGAGAGAGAGAGAGAGAGAGAGAGAGAGAGAGGATCCTTGTGGGATTTAAGGGAGTGTGAGGATGAGTTTCATAGGGTTACTTCAGCAAACTTTAACCTCAGTTTCTCCATACATCAAGGTTTATCTTGAGGGAAGCTTTGAGAAGAAGACCCTTTTAGTGTCAAAGGGCCTAGCTACTTTGCCACATTATAAAAGGTGAAAGTGATTTAGTTCTCTGCCTTAACCAGACACATGACAAAAGATTTGAGGTTCTCTACCTTCACTAGGAGGGTAAAAAAGGATTCAAGGTTCTCGACCTTCACCAGGAGCGTAGAAAGGATTCCAAGCTTTATGCCTTCACAAGGAGGGTGAAAAAGGATTCAAGGTTCTTTGCCTTCATTTGGAGGGTGAAAATGCATTTAAGGTTCTCTGCCTCACCAAAAGGGTGAAAATGATTTTGGTAGTCTACCACACTAGTTGGTTGAAGAGATTATGTAAGGTTCTCTCTGCCTTATTATGAGGGCTAAAGGAGAGACACTAAAGGTATGGTGTAGTACCTATGGAGGATGCTAAGAAGTAGACATAGGCCAAGCTTTGACTAAACCACTATAAAATATGGTGTGCTCGTTCTACTTTTCTTTTCTCACTTTTATTTTTTTTTCTATATTTTTATTTTCTTGTATATTTGTTATTCTTAAAAATCTGCTTGTTGATTATCATGTTGTCTTTTGTTTGATTCTTATTGAGAAAAAAATAAAAAATAAATAAAAAAAATTTTCATTGATATTTGTTTGGAAAATTGAAAAGAACCAAATTACAATTTCTTTATTTTTAAGTTCTACCTCTTGCATTTGTGATTTTTTTGAATAATAAAAAATATTTCATTGAGAAAATTTTTAAATAACCAATTCACCCCCCCTTTTAGTGTACCTAACAAAGTTAAAAATGATTCACAATCTCACTTGCACTATCAAAAGGGAGATTTATGGTCTTCCTATAATTTTAATATCTCCTTATTTTCTAAAAGGTTTAGCATCCTATGTTTAGGCATGCCAATATTTCATTTCACTACTCTTAATTATTCCAATGTTCCTCTATCGAGGTAATATATTATATTATATATTAATTACATACATGACCGTTTTATGTATTAAATTAAGAATGGGAGAAAAAAATTATTCATAATTTTATTCATAATTAGTACTTTAAATGTGTCCATAAAATATGCCAAAAATTTTTCCCAATGAACAACAGATAACATTTATCTAAATGCGGCTACATACACATATTCTAATACATGCAGTTAAAAATTTGGAGATAAGAACGAGACAGAGGGCTTCAAGTATCGCCCGTAACAATCACCGTCCTGTGAGCGTCGAAGCAAGAAGCAGCAGGGGAGGCAGCGCGAACTGAAGCAGATCAACAAACTAGAGAGTAAAGATGGCGGGTGGCATGGGAGTGAACAAGAACAAGTTCATAGAGGACTGGAATCACGCTAGGGAGAACCTAGAGCTAACCTTCCGTTGGACTCGCCGCAACCTAGCGATCGCTGGATTCTTTGGCGTGGCCGTTCCCATTCTCGTTTACAAGGGCATCGTGAATGAATTTGTAAGATCTATTGGAATTCTTTGTTCTGATGTATTTCCATACGATGTTCTGAAAACCCTAATCTCGAATTGTTTCTTTCTGGTCTTTGACAGCACATGCAGGATGAGGACTGGGGAAGACCACCGAGGAAATTCCTGTGAGGGGATTTCATCGGATGAGGTTTTTCAGTTGTTTCTTTTGGAATAATGGTAATTTTGACTTGGCAGAATTTGGTCGTTTAATGGCACGATAAGAAAGATATTGAAGCTTGTTTGGCTATTGGTAGCTTCTTTTTACATTGCATTGTTGTTTTTGATAAGGAGCCTGTGAATGAGGCTTTTGTAAGTGATGATAAAACCATGCTACTTTAAATCTGATATGCGTATTGTGTCAGTCTTTATAGTTTTATTTGGATAAAATTTTTGACATCTTATGCATATTGCCAAAACTACACTAACCTAATCACTAGACAAATTATAACATAACGTAAAATTACCAATGAGGGGATAAATTGTATGCCTGTATATGGCTAAGCTGTGAGCGTCTGAAGCAAGAAACAGCAGGGGAGGCAGCGCGAACTGAAGCAGTTCAACAAACTAGAGAGCACTGGCGGAGGGAAGGGGGGCACATGCCCCCCCCCTAAGAAAAATGAAAAAAAAAAAATAGAGAATCTAGAGATAACATCAAGTAGGAAACTTCAAAAATTAAATTGGAGACCATATGAACTCCAATTTCAGCAAACTTATAGTCGAATTGAACGTTTCAAAAATATGAACCCTATGACACCAAATTCAACTCAATCCGAACCTCAATGACTCCAAATCAAAGAACTGAAGCATATTTGGAATGTTTAAGCCATAATTTGGATTACCAAATGGTTTCCAAACATAACATGCTTATAATCGAATTGAGTGGCTAGACGAGACTAATCCAACGAGCCCACAATTGCCGAATTCTGATATCACTAAGACATTTAAATGCCCAATAAATAGTCCACGATCAAGATATTCAACATTGGCAGTCCATTCAAATCACTCTCAATTTAATTTCCTATTCATTTACATTTTTTTTCTTGATTGATATTAGTTTAATCCTGTATTGATTTGGTCTTAAAAAGATTTTATATTTTTTTGTGCAATGAGATTTTTAATATCAGTATTTAGTTAATATATTGAACCCGTTCTAGCAGAAATCAAGTGATTTGATAATTAGAAGTCATTTTGTGAAGGAAAAAAATAAACTAATTCACTATCAAATTTTTATCATTTTTAAAGCTGATTATTTCGGTCCTAAGTCTGGATGTAAAAAGTTGTAGGAAAATTAAAAAAAATAATTTAGGCCCCCCCTAAAGACATTTTTTGGCTCCGCCACTGCTAGAGAGTAAAGATGGCAGGTGGCATGGGAGTGAACAAGGACAAGTTCATAGAGGACTGGAATCACGCTAGGGAGAACCTACAGCTAACCTTCCATTGGAGTCGCCGCAACCTAGCGATCTCTGGATTCTTTGGCGTGGCTGTTCCCATTCTCGTTTACACGGGCATCGTGAATGAATTTGTAAGATCTATTGGAATTCTTTGTTCTGATGTATTTCCATACGATGTTCTGAAAACCCTAATCTCGAATTGGTTCTTTTTTTTTTTTTTTAAAGAAGCAAAAAGCTTTAAAAACTAAAAAAGAAGCAAAAGGCAAAAAGCCTACAAAGAACAAGCTAAAGATTCCTTCTTCAACAAATCAACAAAAGAAGAAGGAACCTTATCAAGTAAGAGATCTTCCTAAAAGAACTCGGAAAAAACCCCAAAGTTAGCGCATAAGTCCGCTAACTTATTACAATCTCTCTTAATACAATTAAATATAACAAACTTGAAATCATCTATAAAGGAAATACATTCTATACCTTTACTTCCTTTCCTTAGAGCTTTATGAATGAATTTGTTCTTTCTGGTCTTTGACAGCACATGCAGGATGAGAACTGGGGAAGACCACCGAGGAAATTCCTGTGAGGGGATTTCATTGGATGAGGTTTTTCAGTTTCTTTTGGAATAATGGTAATTTTGACTTGGCAGAATTTGGTCGTTTAATGACATGATAAGAAAGATATTGAAGCTTGTTTGGCTATTGGCAGCTTCTTTTTACATTGAATTGTTGTTTTTGATAAGGAACCTGGGAATGAGGCTTTTGTAACTGATGATAAAGCCATGCTACTTTAAATCTCATATGCGTATTGTGTCAGTCTTTATAGTTTTATTTGGGTAAAATTTTTGACATCTTATGCATATTGCCAAAACTACACCAACTTAATCACTAGGTGACAAATTATAACATAACATAAATTTACCAATGAGGGGATAAATTGCATGCGTTTATATGGCTAAGCTGAGGACTTAAATTTCTGTATGCAAATGCAATGATGGACAGAACCAACAGGGATTGTAGTGAAAATTATGACGTCTTGGTGAATAAATTGTTATGTACCCATCATATTATTTTATTTTCTATCCCTTAATTAGCAAGGATTCATGAACTTGTTATGCAAACATGCTCCATCTAAATAAATGTTTATATCCTCTTCTGTTACATGTCAGTAAGCTGAAATGGAGTGATCTGAGTGCCATTTTCCTAGTGTTATGTTTTAATTTTCAAATGTTCAGGGTCAGGTATGGGACCTTTTCCATTTGTCCCGAATGCAGGGTCCTCTCTACTAGTAGTATATAGGTGATATGCTAAGGCTTTAAACATGATAAGCAAGGATGACCATTTCTATTCTTTTGAAAACTTTTGTAACCCTTCAAGCTTGTTATGTTTTTATGGTTTTGTGTACAATGAAACTTGCTAGAAATATTTAAAGAAGTAAAAGCAAAAAACAAATCATTTGGTACATGTAGTTTATGCTTCTTAAATTTGCATTTAATTGGTTTCTATGGTATCCTATTTGTTAACTAGATTTCTCTATTAAAGTAAGGTGTTATAAATTTGAAAAACATCAAATACATATCAAACCAATCCGTGGTTTAAATTTCTTATGGCGTTTTCTACCTTTTTTTTTAACACGTAAAAAATTATATGCTTTTTAGGTACATCAATAGTGAAAATACTCTATTGAAACGCATTTCTGTTGAAGAATGACTGTCACTGTGTTTTTTCTGTTTAGAGTTTTCAAAATGCTTGAATAACATGTATAAGAATTGCAGGTAAACGTTTCCACTTCTGAGCAGATTAGAATTCAAATGTCCAATTGCCTTGAAATTGTATTGTCTATTTTGTCCATTTATCCAATTTTCACTGATAAAGTCAAAGATAATTTGTTGTTTTCTTATTGCGCCTTAAAGGACTTTAGTCAAGAGAGGTACATGTTGCCTCTATGACAAGATCTTTTTTTGTGTGTGGTTGATTATGATTAAAACACCATTTCGGGCTCATGGGTTTCAACACTTGGATTGGATTTCAAATATAGTGTTGGTTTGTTAGTAAAACAAGAAGTGGAGAATGTGTGTGGATTTCAATAAATTGAAGTTGGCTTGCCTCAAAGTGAATTATCTTTTATCACGAATATGTGCGCTAGTTGATTTATTTTTCGACTATTTAGCAATGAGTTTCCTTGATTCCCTTATTTGTGGGCATCATCAATGAAAATGCACCCCATAGATTGCAAGAAGATTGGTTTCTCAAATGGTGACAAATTGTATTGCCATACTATCATTCCATTCGAATTGAAAATTTTTGGAGCGACTTACCAATAGACTGGATTTATATTTATTATGTTGAAATTTGTGTTGAAGATATACTCATTAAAAGTAAAACACCAGCCCAATACATGTCTATTTTACAAGAAATATTCAATACTTTGAAAAAACAAAGAATCTAAATCCTCTAATGTTTATCATTTTAGTTGGTTGTGGAAAATAATTTGTGTTTCTGACTCTTGAGGGTATCTAGATAAATTCAGACAAAGTCAAGGAAATTCTGGAGATCTCGCATCCAAGGATGGACAAGGAACTTCAACGACTAATGATGCCAGTTATAGGCCTTGGTCATTTTATTTCAATGCTGGGAAATAAATATTTGCCTTTCTTTAAAATTATTAAAAGTGCTAAACATCTTAGTGGATTATGAAATGTTATCAAGCATTCACCCAACTTAAAATGCTTTTTTTTTGCTACTACTATTTCAAATCCAATACTCAAGGACAACTTCTTGTTATATCTTATGGTTGGTGAAGAAGATTTTAGTTTAATTTTGATAAGAGAAGATGGAAAAAAGCAATGGCCGATTCAGTATGTAAATAAAATCCTTTAAACTTAATTGTGGTGATGAGTCATTATGGCCCGAGTAGTTCACCCTTCCAAGCATATTCAATTAAACTTATAACATATAATTCCTTAAATGTTCTATTATAACCTTGTTGGGTCCTGAAATATTCGTGACGGTAGAGAAATATAAAGTTTAACGTCTTAGCCTTTTACGAAAATCCAATACACAATCAAATAAAAGAGAGAAGTGTAGCATTCATAAGAGACACCAGAGTTTTTATGTGGAAACCCTTGAAAAGGAGGAAAAATCACGAGGCTTCGCCCTGTTTGAATGAATCCACTAGTGTTTGTAGTTGATACAAATGAGGCTCTTCTTTGGAGGGCAGGCCTTTGCTTAATGTAACAAATATAAATCATATAGATATATTACATGATGGGAGTTGGAAGTATTAGTGTTGACAAGTTCACTTAGTTGGTAGGACCATAGTCAACAAGCGATGTAGGTCTTAAGGATTATATTCGCAGGCGACAAAGGTCGAAAAGATCGTAGTCGGCGGTAGTCGGAACAACCATAGTGGACGGGTGATGTAAGTTGGAGGGACCATAGTTAGATGATGGCGGTCAGAAGGACCGTAGTCGGGTCACGACGGTTAGGGAGACCGTCATCTGGAGATGTTGGTCAGAGGGATCATAGTTGTTGGGCGATGGAGGTCGGAAAGACAGTAGTCAGCTAGAGACGACGGTTGGAAGCACCGTAGTCGGACAACGATGGTTGAAAGGACTGTAGTTGGAAAGTGACGGTGTTTGGAGTGGACAGTATTAAGCGAGCGACGATGTTCATAGTGGACCGTAAAAGATCGATGGTTGGGCAGGAGCTTTGTAACAATTGGTGGGCGGGTGTATGTCCGATGACAATTGGTGGTCGGGTGGAAGTCCAGTGAAAGTCCGACGACGGCCGGTGGCCGAGCATAAATTCATCGTCAGTTGGTGGTTGGGTGGAAGTCCAATGGCAATCGGTGGATGGGCGTAAGTCCGATGAAAGTCCAGCTACTATCGGTGGTCGGGTGTAAATTAGGGGTGCAACCGAGTCAAGCCGACTCGCGAGCCGACTCGGACTCGACTCGGTAACGGGCTCGACGAGTCGAGCTTATCGAGCTCGCGAGTCGAGCTCGAACACGAGTTCGAGCTCGACGGCTAATCGAGCTCGAGCTCGAACATACGTCGGACTCGACTCGTCGGCTCGACGAGCAGCTCGTTGGCGGAGCTCATGGGCGGGAAATCCAAATATCGCGAGCTGAAAATCCAAAACAACGGCACAAGCGGATCTCGTTTCTCGACGGCGGACGAGCTCGGGACAAAGGCCGAATGCGACTGATCTTGATCTTGACGGCAGAGCTCATCCATTGGTCGTCGAATCTCTGGACAACGACATCCATTGCTCGACAATCTCTGGACGACGACATCCAGAGCTCATCTCGGGACGGCAGAGCGGAACACGTCGGACGAGCTCTGCCAACGAGCTGATGGCGGACGGGCGCGACGACGGAGCTCAAGAACACGTCAGACGAGCTCTGCCAACAAGCTGATGGCGGACTGGCGCGACGGAGGGCGCGACGACGGATGGTGCGACGGACGGGCGCGACGACGGTGGGCGAAACTGCGGATGAAGTCGGAACTGAGGTCTCGGGCGGAACTGCGACGACGGGCTCGATAGCGAGCTCGACGAGCCGCTCGATTTGACGACGAGTCGAGCTCGAGCTCGGATTTTGAGCTCGACTCGAGTTCGAGCTCGAGCTCGAGCTAGGGTTTTGGTTGTCAGGCTCGACTCGAACACATCCTGACTCGAGCTCGACTCGACTCGTTTGCACCCCTAGTGTAAATCCAATGTCAGTTGGTGGCTTGGCGAAAGTCTAGTGACAATTGTTGGTCAGGCGGAAGTCCGGCGATAGTTGGTGTCCGGGTGGAAGTCTGACGAAAGTTCGGCAAGGGTTAGTGGTCGAGCGGTGATCAAGGAGTCTGATAGAAAGAGAATTATCTATTTTCTCTTCCTTTACTTTCATCTTTCCCTCCCTTGCTCGATTCCCCCTCAATAAAGAATGAGGGGTCTTTTATAATTTTCTGAGAGTGACATGGTTAGTAAATAGGGAAAAGATCAAGGACATGGTGGGACTGATTTGAATAGACGAACAATATTGATTCCCTTGATCATGGACCATTTATCGAATATTTAAGTGCCTTAATGATGTTAGAATTCGGCAATCTTGGGCTTGTTGGATTTGTCTCATCGAGCCGCTCGATTCGATAATAAGCATGTCAACTTGTATGCTAAGCACCATAATGATAGCCCCATGTTTTAGTTGATTTTTTGGCCAGATTCAGCTTTCCTAATGCCAAAAGGAAATTACAACAATGGACTATTTACTTCGAACACTCTATTAATGATATCTCAAGAAATCAAGGAACGTGGAATTGGGATAGTCTTGAAAATTACCGGTGCATCATGCTTTATGATGCAGTAAATATTTTCTTCATGTTATTTACAACTTAGATGATTATGAAACCCTGCTGTTGGACTACATTTTACCCTGAGAGTCGGAGCAAAGCACCTTGGCTTCTTTTCCAATTCCCAACTTCCAACTTGTTGTGAATTAATTTAATATGGAATATGATGCATGAGAAGAGATAATATTGTGATATATTGTCCAAGTAAAAAATGAAATTGACAAATACTTAGAATTTAACAAATGTCTATTGAAAAATTCACCTCGTTGACTTGCTATCAAAATGTGGCAATTTTGAGAATAGAACAGCTTTGAAGTTCACTTGTTCTAGTGTTGAAGAAGTTGAAGCCATGTAAGTTGAGGTTGCCTCAAATTATGTTGATTGATTTATTGAATACTTATCTTTAGGAAAAATTCTACGCATAGTCAAAGATCAAAGGATGTTTAAAATTATGGTATTCAATACCTATTCTTGTGAAGT